GGGGGAGAGGTTGTTTTACTCGAAGTCATTGTCAGCTATGGTAACGCTATTTACCGTGGCCTGATAAGCTCATTAACCTTGGATAACATTTAGTCGTTGTTTCCGCAGTAACTCCCATTAGCTTAATTAGCATTCCGGAACAATCAACCTACTTAGCACTAGCACTCTAGTTGATCCATATTATCCCTCCGGCTAGCCTGATCAGCCACTTTGTTAACCTGGTCATTATTGCCGAGCCGATCGGGGGGAGTAACGATACTCGATGTCGCTTTTTGCTACGATACCACATTTAAACGCCGGCATGATTAGTTCATTAACCTTGTAAAATATTTCGCTGTTGTCGCCGCAGGAGTCGTCTTCAAGTGTTAGAGCGGAAACTGATGTGCCTAGAGACGTTCAATAACATCTACAAAGCTCTGGATCAGATGAGGAGCAGCAGTGTAGTGCCTGAGACGGAAACAAACGAGGAGATGAGACAGCGAGTCACCAAGGAGTGTAAATGGTTTGTACGCTGGCAGTTTATAGTTATTGCAGGAAAACAGTCAATCGTTGAGTTCAGACCTTGCCCATTGTGCTATTGCATAAGCTAAAAGATTTCGTTGTCCTTTATGATGCCCTTTCCCCGCCTATCTTCCTAACCGCTCCCACTGAATAAGTCTTGCTCGAGTCAAGACTTTCTAACTTTAAAACTTGAGAAAACGTTGACACCCTTGCAGCGCAGAAGTAAGCTACCTATAAGCAGTTCAGCGAGTTTGCTCCATTGTGGAGATCGCTTACAGTTTAATCATGTGTTGACCGGTGTTCATGTGTTTATTTGGACAACGAATGTTAACCTAATCCATTGCGAATGGTTGTCTAGTCAAGAGAGTAAAACTTTCATGATTTTAGGAAAGCGTCTTTCTAAGACAACGAAAGGCTGGACTAATATTACAATTTTTATTCGACGCAGGTACAAAGACTTACTTAGTAACCTACCACAAGAAGTGAAAGCTGATCGATACTGCACCATAGTCTTAAATAGGATCGCTAGTTATGGCTCGGTAGGTATCAGTGATTAGACCTAAAAATCTAACGCTCATGAGCTGAAATTCCTTGATATCACACCTGAATGGTATCTTATTGACAAAGTGGGGTTAGGTGCAGTAACAAGTCTTTGTCATGTTGCGTGGTCTAAGAAGTTACAGACTGAACCATAATCTGTGACACAATAGCTGTTATTACAGTTTTCAGCGGTTTGACATAAAAACGAGGCAAAAGGGTCATTTTTGCTTTGTATTGACCCGTTCGCCTCGTTTGTATGCCTTTTTAAACAAAAGAATATTGGAACGGAGACTCGACTGTAATTACAGCTATTGAAACTAATCTACAAAGTTGCTCACACGTAGCTAATCACATTCAGCAGGGACTCTCGATCTTTGCAACCAGGAAGCTGTGTGTTTTAAGACGAGATGTGGTCGAGATTGTGCACTCGTGTAAGAACTCTACTAATGTTTTATTGTCCTTCCACAGGAAAAATGTATTTCGCCAGCTATGCGCGTTGAACTGGATATTAGAAGGAATGTCTCAGGATCAACAGCCACCGGTTATGCCGCCAATCACGAGCTGCTGGAAATTAAAGTGAGTGCTAATCAATGAATACTCGAGCATAACCCGATGAATACCCGACCATAACCCGAGAATATCCCGAAAATGTTTCATCAAATAGACGAGCAGACTGTAATGAATACCCGAAATGTCTAGTAAACGAAGAATTCCCCTAACAGTTTTTGATAAAAGCCCGAGCACCCGACGAATAGACGAGCATGCGGACCAATCACGAGTTAACAATTCTGGTCACACTCTGGCCATAAAATACCTATAAGGGTACCGTCCCAGTGTTGCTAACAGCCACAAATCCTTTCAGACAGTTCTTGGAAAAAACCCTTCATTTTTGACGTAAATAGGTCTTGTGAAAGTATAACATTTTTCAACAGTCCGTGAGACGGCAAGAAAAAAAGGTCAAACAGCTATCTAAGCCCTTCATGGACTTAGTATGTCGTATTTCCCCATTGAGGTTTTAAACACTCAAAAGTGTTCATATCTATTTTTAGAGACTTAAACGAAGACCCAAGAACAATCCGTAAAAGAGTAGAAAAGGACAGGGCTACTGATAAAGATTGGGTCACATTTAAACAGAATCCTGCACGATTTACACAGGTAGGCTTTGACCAGCTTCGAGGATCTGCTTCAGTGTGATTACCCTTAAACTATCTTTGTATTGACATTGTACATGTACATACACTTGATGTACTTCCAACTTCTCAAAAGTTGCATTAAAAGAATTGTGCGATAAACTGTAGGGAGAATTTTTCATTTCGAGAACAGTTGAAACTAGAAGGTTTGCAGCTAGTTAGCAAAGATATATCGATTCAGTGACGTAAAATTTAAGACGTATCGTTTGGTGCTGTGAAGCTCAGCGATGGTTGATCAATCTGAGTGATCCTGTTAGTACTTTCTTGTTTGGGTTTTAAAACAATTAAAGCCTTCCCGCAGGGTAGATCAGAGTCAAACTTAACAGTGAAACACAGTGACCAATAAGTGACGAGAAACTGAAGACGAGTCTTATAGCCAATACCATCCCGGCTAAACTGCCCAATATACATGAGCCCTTGACGGTACCGACGAACCAGACTTTTAACTCCATCGAATAACAAACACTTGACTTGACTTGACTCTGAAGATGACTTTCGTTCAGGCTGTCGAAACCTTAGTAACCATTAGCAGTTCTTCTCAGAACCACTCTAGCCCAGTCGCTCCCTCTAGAAAAACTACCCAAACATTTTCAACCTTTACAACTACCCTTCGCTCGCTCATTCCTTTCATTCGACCCGAAAAATTCCCGTGCAGAGGAAGCTCGAAAGCCATCCGAGTAGTTCCCTTTGTAGTTGTTGTTGGGCTTTAAATTACTTTCGCTCGCAGTTTGTGACAACATATCAGTATAGAAATTTTTGTACCTATTTCCACTGGATTGCGCTCTAGCTCGGGTAGAGTTAAGCAGGCAAAGAGATCTTTATTTACTCAAGTTATCTTCTTGTTTTCGTTTTCAAGCGCGGGACTCGAAGAGGAACAAGACGTATTTCTATTCACCCGAACTTCATTCAGCGCTTTTCCACCACTGGCAGCGGTGGCCAGACCCCAACTGTAGGACCCAATGTTCTTCGTGTTCCCTCGGATTCTCGGCCGCGGAGTGGCACTAGTAACACTGCAGAGACTGTGGCATCGACGAGGACAGAGATACAAACCGAGCATGCGCATGCTGACCAAGTGATTCCTCAAGAAGACAGTGTCAGCCAAACTCAAGGAAACTCTCCTCGTGATGGTAAGCCTAGAAAAGATGTAATAAGGCAAGAGAACTTCATACGCACAATATCACTTGCGAACGGTTTGTGAATCTTAAACAAAAGAAGTTGACGTGTAGTTCGCTTTAAAATTAACAAACTGGGAAGTTATCGGCAAATAGATTTTCTATGCACATTTAAATGAACTTAAGCGTTAAAGAATGATATGGTTAATGACAGAACTGCAACCAACTGGGTCGAAAAGAAAATGTTTCGGACTTTACGTTACACTCTCAGTAAACCAAGTCGCAAGTTTCTAACTTGTGTGGAATTGTGACTTCGCTTCGCCTGGGGTTTTGCGTTTACTCGCGTTTAAGTGCGATAACTCGGCTTGCACGTAATATTTCGCATTTGGCCGCCCAACTCGCCTCAAGGCTTGTCTTGTCGGTTTTTGGTTTTGTTTTTCTCCTGTATGAGCAATGAATTACAACGTCCGAATGGGTAGCGTATGTTCAGCGTACGTGTTTTCGTTAGCGCCTGTTTTTTGCACTCGTTTTTCGCGCCAGCAGTTTCTTGTGAAGCTCTGTCTAAGTTCATTTCTTCCCGTTCTTTAAATTAAAAGTTGCATTTTTTCTGTTAACTTAAGCAGGGCCCACGGTAAGCTTTGTGGACCCAAAGATAAGAGCAGTGTCAGCCCCTCCTGGACCAGTAGGTAACCAGACGGCAGTTGCAGCAGGGGCATTACCAGTTACCATGTCTGGCACCACGCTGAATGGGGCCCTGCAAAATGGAACTCCAGGAGGTGCCGAGAAAAAGACACCATCCAAGCTTCAAAAGCAGAAATCGTTTACGGTCACTACTGTGTATACGCCGCCTTCAAATCCGAGCAAAGCTATGCAGAAAATACGTGCCAAGACAAAAGCTGCTAACGCTTTCAAGACTTCACTGTCGGTTAGTAGATTTGTTGCATAATGCTGTCTCACGTTTAAGAATAAATGGAATTGAATATCGTGAATTGAAATTAACTTGTTTAAAGGAACTTCTCGCAAAATGCAGACAGGAATGTGATGAAGAATTGCGTTTTTTCGCGTTACTAGTCGTTGGACTGACACCTACTCGTCCCAGTTTCAAACTGTTTTGTTGTGTTGGAAACTGGCAATTCTGATAACGTCCTAACAAAGTTTCGTTTGTTTCAGCACAAGGAACTGGAAAAACTAGCGTCCAAACCCGAAGAACAACAAACGGCCAGTGATTCACGTGTCAGGGCCTGGGTTCAAGCTACCGGTGAGTGTCTCGCATTAAAACTCTTTTCCTTCTCGTGATTACCGTAATGTAATCGATAAACAACCTGGTAGTTCATGAATCATATCGTAGATCGTAATTTTAAACAATTAGATCATTCGTTCTCGATTTCTATCGCTTGGTTAATGAGGGCGCTGCCCGGGTCTACTGATACGCACAGACAAACTTTATCTAAATTCTCTTCACAGACACTTGGAAAAGGTAAAGAAGTGGCCACCATTTTGTTATTTAACAATCACACACTGCTTAAGGCTACTCACTATCTACAGCTGAATAGACAGTGAGTAGCTAGCGTAGCCAATAAGAGAACGACATTACGATAGAACGCTATTAGATTTATACTAGAAGGTGATAAATGGTTATGGCTGTGTTTTTGGGCTGTGATACCATGCACATCACACCTTTGAGCGTCTGGTTGTATTTTAGATCAATATGGCTAAATCCACGACAACGTTGAACATGTTCCTATAACGTTTTACGAAACATGTTGCCTTCTCGCGCATGAGGCTTAAAACCATCCTGTTAACGACATGATCTCTTTTCGCTACAGGCGCAGTGAATACGAAGAGGTAGGACTTATTACAACTTTGTTGTTGCTTTGTTTTTTTAGTTCTTTGTTTTTGTTTTTGTTTTTGTTTTTTGTAATAAAACAGTTTCCCCTTGAGTGTCGAAAGCGAATTGGTTTTGCATTACTTCGCTACACGATTAGCTTTAAAAACTCGCACCATTTTTTTCACCCAATCAGAAGTAAAAAAAAAACAGTCGTGAATCGCTCATACACGTTTTCCCGCTTCGCATCAGCTACATGTATTGACGGCAAGTTTTAATTGGTTCATTGGATTGTTTTTTGGCTAGAGTGATTACATTCTTGGTTTTGTTTTTACGGCACTTATTTTTTTTAGATTGTGCGCTTGCATATTTTATGAGTTTTTTGTGGGAAATGAGTAAATATTTGTAAACCGATTGCACAAGGTATTTACAATGTTCTGTCACACTTTTGGTGCCATTTAGTCCCTGTCCACACTGCGCCGGAGGAATTTGAAAACGGAGCTTTAATTCTACGGTTCCATCACGTAAACGGAGCTTTTCGAAAACGCTCTCCAAACCGGAGGAGACACCGGCTTTGCGCTTTAGCGTGGACGGAAAACATTTTGAAAACGAAGGTTTCCGTGAAAGATGAATTTACGATAACAATGATATTTCCCTACCCGAGTTTTACTCAAACACCAATCCAAACTGAACGGTGTTTGTTGTATTTCCAAATTTCTCCCGCGTAGTGTGGACGGAAAGCATTTGATGCGTTTTCAGAGTGAAACCTCCGTTTTCAAATTCCTCCGGCGTAGTGTGGACGGAGCCGCGCAGTGGACTAGAGCAATGCCACGAGAACAACAGAGCTGCAGTAACGTAATTTCCACTGCTAACCTGTGACATCAATATAGAATTTCTTAATCTAGATATTAATCAGATGTATGACCAAATTCTCATAACCAGCAGTAAAAGAAGTGTATGGATAATAGTGGGGAGAAGTAATATTCATCTCCCTTCAGGTTTGCAGCAGCAGCCATAGCAGCGTTTGGCGCCATAAGCTTGGATCATCGCGCTGAGAAAGTTCCTGGAGATTTGAAAACGAAGTTCAACGAAGTGGCGGACGAGAAAGCTCTTGTGTTACACGATAACTTGGAGGTCAGAGACAGGTGTGTACGAATGAGGACTGCCAATGTATGACTTGCAGTTTGAGTTAAAATGTCGCGATACCACGTTACGCACAGCTACTAGCACTCCGATGGCTTAGTCACTGTACTAGAATGGTTTACTGGATTAGCCCAGTTGGCACTTCGGTTGGCCTGATTAGGACTTCGATTAGTTGCAAATAATTGAACATTACACTTAGCTTGTTGATTAATGAGGACAGATCCAGGTTAGGGGGG